TACGGAGGAGAGTAGACTTGGTCAACAGGATTATACGAGAAGGTTTATTTCTTTCCCGTACAAAGACCAACATCGATGAGAATTCAAAAAATAATTCTCAACATGAAACTAAGCTCCTAAATTCTAACTGGGTATTATACAAATTGGCCTACTCCAGAAATGAAAAAAAAAAAAAAAAAAAAAAGAGTTGACTCAAGGTCAAGAAGTGCAAAGACCACAACAGTTGTTGATGGATTCTCCAAAAAAGACTTTGTAAGCAGCTTTAAGAAACATATAAACAAACAGAAAGTAAACAAGACCTGAGACAGGTAACAGAGAAACTACACAATCCAATAAACAATCTCATCTCGCGAGCGCAATAAATCTGAGCACACTTGAATTGGAGGCATAAAGAGCTCAGCTCAGCTCACAAAACCCATTTAAAAACCCAGTTGAATGTGAGACGTCGAAGGCTGAAGTGGGTGACGCACCAGCAACAAATGTGGCGCGTGAGGGCACATTAGAGCAGATCTGAGGACACCGTTGGTGGCGTTGGAATCGTGAGAAGATTCCAAGCACTTTGGTAGGCAGTGCGAAAATTTTTGAGAACAAAAAGGATCTGATCAGTGATAACTACCAGAAAATGTGAATTTTTCTGATTAATAAGCTATATATTTGAGGTTCTGATACCATGTAAAATAAGTTGAGAGAGGGATAGAAAGAGAGAAATCTCTGTATTTCTATATATCTGAAACCATATAAAGGGTCTCCATTTTATAGGAGTTTCTGTGTTACAAACATCATCATTTGACAAAACATAATTATGAAAAGGGACCGAAAGCTAACTGAAAGCTAAATCCTATCTTAGCTGTATTCTATATACATTAATATATTAACATGAGCTGTAACAGTTAGACCATGCTCACATAATTGACTAATGGAGATAAGATTTAAAGTAAGAGCAGACATAAGATATACATGGGATAAAGATAAGTGAGAAGTGAAAACAGAACCAACATGACTTACAGACAGAAGAGACCCATCAGCAGTATAGATAGAAGAAACATGAGGATTAGAAGAGAGAGTAGTAAAAATAGTAGGGTCAAAGGTCATGTGATTACAACAAGCGGAGTCAAAGTACCAGGAAGTGTTACCTGAGGTGACAGACAAAGCAGTAGATGGGGAAGTACCGAAAGTAGAGAGAAATTGTTGGAACATGGTTTCAACATCTGTTTGAGAGAAGACTGGAGTGTAAGGGTCTATAGGGATAGAGGAAGGTAAATCCTCTGAGGCAGCAGCAGCAGTAGCATAAGGAAAGCATTTTTCATGTCCAGTTGATAAAGATCCCATTGTCGGGTGGTAGCAACAGCAATCAGGTTACAAACAGAGGTGAGACGGGCAATAGGAGCAAAGGTCTCCTTATAGTCAATACCATATTCCTGGTTGAAGCCTTTGGCAATAAGGCGGGCTTTGTAGCGCTCAATAGATCCATCAGAACAAGTCTTGATTTTGTATACCCATTTGCAGCCAATGGCAGTCTTGCCAGGGGGAAGATCAACAATGCCCTAAGTATGAGTTTTGTCTAAAGCCTGCAATTCATCAGTCATAGCATGCTGCCAAAGAGGATTAGAGTGAGCCTCATGATAGAAGGTAGGTTCATAAGTAGAAAAAGCAGTAGAACCAACAATAAAGTCACGAAGACGAGTAGAAGGTTGGGTTACCTGGTGTGGTCGAGCAGAGGGAGGAGGAGCCAGAGGAAGAGACTCAACGGGAGGTGAGGATCCCAAATGAGCAAGAGCAGGACCATCAAAGCGAGTAGTCTTGTAGGAAAGACCAGTAGGCAAAGTGGTCTTGAGATAGGCTGGCAGGGGCAGTAGAGCAAGCTTATCAGAAAACAGATCTGTGGAAGGGTTAGTAAAAAATAGAGAGGGTGAGAGAGCGGATAAGCGGAAGAGAGAGAGAGAGGAAAACATTTTGTGTTCCCAAAAGACCACATGACGAGAGATACAGAGGCACTGGGAGAGAAGATCCCAACAACGATACCCCTTATATTCAATACCATACCCCAAGAAGCAACAAAGGCGACAACGAGGTTCAAGTTTGGTACGTTCATGAGGTTGGAGAAGAACAAAATAGGCAAATCCAAAGACCCTAAGATTGGTGTAAGGGGGACGGTGCCATGCAAACGCTCATAGGAAGTGTGATTATGAATGACAGGTAGAGGGATACAATTGATAGTGTAAGCAGCAATGAGAGCTGCTTCTGTCCAAAAATTTTCCGGACAAGAGGAAGAGAGAAAGAGAGCTCGAGTAGTGTCGAGAATATGCCGATGTTTCCGTTCAGCACGTCCATTTTGTTGAGACGTACCTGGACAGGAACGATGAGGTTGAGTACCATGACTCTGAAGGAAGGAAAGAAAATCAAAATCTTTATATTCCATGGCATATTCGGAGCGAAAAAACTTAATAGTTTTAGAAAATTGGGTTTTAACCATTGCAGCAAAATTGTAATAAAGTTGTTTGAGCTCAGAGCAATTTTTCATAAGAAACAACCATGTAAAACGGGAAAAATCATCTATAAAAACAAAAAAATAGCGTGCGCCTCCCATAGTAGGAGTAGGAGAGGGGCCCCAAATATCAGAATGGATGAGATCAAATGGTGCAAGAGAAACAGAGTCACTTTTATTAAACGATAAAGCAGGTTGTTTGGCAAGTTGACATGACAAACAATCTAAAGTATCAGAACTGATAGGACCTAAATGACCACTAGAAATTAAAGACTTTAACCGACCAACAGAAAGATGGCCTAAACGACAGTGCCAAAGCTGAAAAAGAGATAAAAGAGGAGTAGTAGTAGGAGCTATGATCTGAGAAGAATTCAGAACATGAAGATGGATGAGTTCATAGAGACGTCCATACTTACGACCTATCCCAAGAGTCCACCCTGTCTGAGGGTCCTGCACCAAACAACCTGTATAGGAAAAGATAACAATTAGACCATTCTCACATAATTGACTAATGGAGATAAGATTTAAAGTAAGAGCAAGTATAAGATATACATGGGATAAAGATAAGTGAGAGGTGAAAACAGAACCAACATGACTTACAGACAAAAGAGACCCATCAGCAGTATGGATAGAAGAAACATGAGGATTAGAAGAGAGAATAGTAAAAATAGTAGGGTCAAAGGTCATGTGATTACAACAAGCGGAGTCAAAGTACCAGGAAGTGTTACCTGAGGTGACAGACAAAGCAGTAGATGGGGAAGTACCGAAAGTAGAGAGAAATTGTTGGAACATGGTTTCAACATCTGTTTGAGAGAAGACTGGAGTGTAAGGGTCTATAGGGATAGAGGAAGGTAAATCCTCTGAGGCAGCAGCAGCACTACGATGAACAGACATCGGTTTAAATTGAGTCCCAAAATGGTAAGAGTTGCCGTGTGAAAAATTCCCGGTGGAAGGACCATTGCGAGAGGAGAAACCAGGAGAGGCTCGGACTAGATTGCGGAAGCAATCTTGCTGGAGATGACCAGGGCCAGTCTTGTTGCAAACTGACAAAGGTGAACTGGATAATTAACTAGAAGATGAGTCAACGGAAGACCGCAGTTTTGACAGTAGTTGTAGGTAGTTGACCTCTGTGGTGAAGGTGGTGAAGTACAACTCCGAATCTGGGGAGTGGTAAGAACAGAGTCCACGAGTGCGGATGGAGAGTACCAAACCTGGTTTCCTCTAAAAGTAGTTCAGAAATTGCTTGCTCAAGAGTGGGTAAAGGAGTGTGATGAATGAGAGATATGCGTACTGGCTCAAAATGGGGAGTGAGAGCCATTAGAAATTGATCCAAGAGCTATTGGTCACGGTAAGTAGTAAACAAGGCAGCATCCTTAGTATGGGGCCATGGAGGTTCAGAAAGAGTGAGCTGATCCCAAACAGAATATATTTGGGAGAGGAAATCATTAAGAGTTTGAGTTGTGTCTTGGCGCATACGGTGAAGATAACTCAGAAGCTGATATTGGTGAGCAAGGCCAGTAGTCTGATAGCGTTCTTTTAAAAAATCCCAGATGGCTTTTGCTGGAGTGGAAACAGAGTCAAGTTGCAACCGACCAAATTGAAGGCCGATAGATGTAGTAGAAATATTACGAAGCCAAGTGATGATCTGATAGTTTTTACTGTCCCAATCCTCCAGGCGATCGACATATTTGTCAGAGGTTTCCATGGTCTCTTGGATGGGTTTGCACACATCTCTAGTGATGACACGCCAAAGTTTCTTGCCTTTGAGGAAGCCAGACATGGCTTGTGCCCATAAGACATAATTAGTCCCGTCAAGAACAACAGAAATAGGGTGGTTAGAGAAGTCCGGGCGATCCATGAAGGAAAAACAACACGACCGAGGTAGAAGCGGGAAAAACCGAGGGTACCAGTGAATTCAGAAGGTCAAAATTAGTGGGGAACCGGTCTGAACCGGCCAAAAAATTTCAATAATAGGGCTGAACCGGTCTAGGGAAGTTGTTGAGTCGGTTGGAGCTGAACCAGCTGGAGCCGAAGGCGAAGGCAGCTCCAGCAAGCGGCCTGTGCGAGTGGCTAGAGCGGCAGGAGCGAGTGGCACAGGTTGTGAGAGACGGCTCAAGCGGCTGTAGGGGCGTGTAGTGCGTGAGACGATGAGAACGAAACAGCTCGAGCAGCTAAGGAATGCATGTGGCACGTGAGACGTCGAAAGCAGAAATGGGTGACGCGCCAGCGACAAATGTGGCACGTGAGGGTGCGTTAGAGCTAATCTGAAGATGTCGTTCATGGCGTTGGAATCGTGAGAAGATTCCGAGCACTTTGGTAGGCAGTGCGAAAATTTTTGAGAACAAAAAGAATCTGATCAGTGATGACACAAAGATACTAGAAAATGTGAATTTTTCTGATTAATGAGCTATATATTTGAGGCTTTGATACCATGTAAAATAAGTTGAGAGAGGGATAGAAAGAGAGAAATCTTTGTATTTCTATATATCTGAAACCATATAGAGGGTCTCTATTATATAGGAGCTTCTGTGTTACAAACATCATCATTTGACAAAACATAATAATGAAAAAGGAACAAAAACTAAATCCTATCTTAGCTGTATTCTATATACATTAATATATCAACATGAGCTGTATTCTATATACATTAATATATCAACAAGAGCTTAATTCTGTCAAAATTAAAAACAAAATAATTCAGAAACACATTAAGCATTTGATTATACTCCATCCTTATTTTTCACTTCAGCAAAAGACCTCAGGGGGGTGTCATTTTTGTTGTTTGCATCACATATAGACAGAACTAATTGGTAGTTCAAGATAAATAATACTTTTCAAATAATCCTTTCAGTTTTTTCTTTTCCTTTATAAGATGAGACAATTGATCAAACACAATACTGATTTACGATCTACATAACCAGCATCATATGCAGAAGAACCACTCACACCAATATCCATTCAAATCTCTCTCTCTCTCTCTCCAAGTAATCAGTGCACAATTATGACTACTTCCGAAAGTAATAAAGCATTTCCAGGATACTAAAACAAAAAACATGACTGTATCAATCAAATACGCTATGTCCCAAAAGAATGTCATTATTTTTTCCTGACTTTTATGCAGTCCTGCACTTACGCACAGAGATCATCATATCAATTTGGTTGAATTATTGCCGCTAAACAGAGTTGTAAGTACTGACCTGAAAAAGTGAAGCCAGCTCTGGAACCTGAAAAATTGAAGATGCATACATCAATTCCACAGCAAAATCAATAGCAGGTCTGCATGCATCATGGGCACATACATTGTCAACACAAGTTGACACCTCTGGGGGGAAAGGCTTCAGCTTTCCAGTATACAAATAGCTTAAGAAAATAAGGAAGGCCTCACAACCGACCCTACCATAAGGCAACAAATCGTTCATACAGTACTTAGGTTTCCCTTCCTTCTCAAAGGCCTTCTTTTCTTTCTTGAAAAGCTCATGGAAAAATTTACTCCGAGCAGCCAATATACATCTGTGAACACCTACTGGGATGTTCTCAACAACAAGCTCAGTGTCGCTATAATCACAGCTGGAGTCAACTAGAAGTTGTTCTAAATTATAGCTAAGCTTCCTTAAACTGATGATTTCGACACTGGACCCTCCCTGGGAACCAGAGGCTGGTGGTATATTGTAG